ATGCTGAATTAGGGTATTTTGATGAATGATTGTATCCAGTCATAAGAAAAGCTGTATTATCGTGAAGCAAACTGTAAATTGTGCTGAATGTTGAGCAAAGACCCAGAATTTATGTACTGCCAGGTTTTTGCATTTGCATGAGCAGCATCGGTGGAAAGTAGCCACCCACATTGCGATGCTTTATTTTCCTCCCACCTATAAGCTCACATTCACATCAATATGTCTAGTTTTTTCCTAAAGTACATTGCCAGTACGAAGATGAAATGTAGATGATCATCTAAAGTGTTTTCAGTGTTAGGAGTGTGACAGCCATGAGACTCAGTATGTATAATTCACTGGCCTGGAGCAGTGCATGATTTAGCTCTTGTATCACATTATATTCAAAGTTTCATAAAGTTGTCAGTATAACAAAATGAGCTTGAACACTGTCGACTGTAGTTACGTGGTCTCACAAGAGTTAAAACTGACCTTAATGATCCGGTGTCGTCTCATCGTGAGTTAGAATCTAAGACTCACTGGAGGACCTGTACCCTTGAAATCCAATAATCCGACGTCATTGTCCTTTTCCATTTAAATGATGTCTCAACAATAAACTACGTGAACGTGGCAGACATGCGGAGAGCGGCACTCACTGATTTATCATGCTCTCATCTTGAGATGGGTTGGGTCAAGGTGCCCCTGTCTCAGTGGGTGTCCTTTTACTCATGCACGGTAAATGTTTAAGATGTATCGCAGTCATATTTTATGAGGATGTGTTTCCCCAGGGGTTAGATTTTTGTAGCTGAACGATAAAAAGAAAATTATTTTATCTTGTGTTTATTCCAGTCTCCAAACTCTGCTGCAAAAAAGAGGTGTTGTTAAAAGACACAGAGATACTGTCGGATAGTTGATATTAACTGTAGACTGTAAACACAGTGTCACTCTGCTCCTCAGTTTCTTATTTTGACTTCATCCCCACAGTGAACCAGCAGCATGCTGTGAGTGGGTGTACTTGTATACACGGTGCATCGTCCTCTCATAAGTGAAGCCTTCTGATAAACCTTTTACTTATTAAATCAGCGCCATTTCTGAGGCAGAGAACCGGACTGCCCTGTCGAATTCAGATCTTTTACAACACAACGCTGTTAGAATGGAAAGGTTACAACAACACACCTTGAAGTGTGTGCACTTTGTCTTTCTCCAAAAACTTCAGACCCCTGAACGAGTGTGGGTCGTGTGAATTATAGGACAGAGGGCCGGGTAAACTAGAAAAGAAGTGGTATGACCAGGCTGGAAATCCAAAGTGCTTAAATACCTGATTTGAAAGGCCACACTTGGAGACCGAGTTGAAAGCAAGTGATGATAGAGAGAGGGAAAGATGTGAAACTTTTTGAAAGTGCAGAGGAAGACATTATTAGTGTTGCCCTTAAAAGAGACAGAAGTTCAGACCCAGCACAGTTTTTCACCTGTGCACAGCTGGCCATTCACGGCATGAAGTGGGTGTGAATGTCAGATCATCAGTTTTGGGAGAGTTACAGAAATAGTCGGACAGCGCTTCCCTAATCCGATGTGAGAAAGGTGTGGGGGAAGGAAGATTTTAAATCCTTTAACTGCCTTTCTGTATAAAAAGTGATACGTCGTAACTGACACTGTCCACATAGCTCAACCCGTCTTTTCTGGGAAGGACAAACATGGCCACAGTGGAGGTCTGAGCTTGGGATAGTGTTCCTCTTAAGACAGAGGCAAAAGTGGCTCTTTTCCTTTCCTGCTCAGAAAACACAGACCTTATTGTTTCTGCCAATGTTGAAATCTCTTTTTATGACTGTTTCACTTTAACATACTTGTTAAATTCCTAAATCTGACACACTGGAGCTTTTACGACTTAACTGCACTGATATGATGTAATTTAATTTGTGTAAAAGTTCATAAATATGATATAATTCACTTTAAAATGGCTTTAGTAAATCTGATTTATCTGGTTTCCTTTGTTCGGTGCAGGAGTGGAAGGAATGGAGTGCTCCCTCCCTATGGACGGCAGACGCGTGTCGCTGACCCAGCTCTCGAAGGACAGCTTCCGTGAGTGCCAGGCAAACCTGACTCTAACAGACCTGCTCATCATCATCTTCTCTGGCATCTCAGTGTCGGTGGTGGCCATCATGACGAGCTTCTTCCTGGCTTCAACTGTTCACTGCTTCCAGCGCTGGAGTAAAGGCACCAAAGGGGATGAGGAAGAAAGTGAAGAGTGAGAAGGATCTTACTTGTTTTTTTGCGCCTCCGTTGGACGGGCACTTCAAACAATGAGGGGAATGAAACGCAGAGGGTGCAACATGTCACAAGTATCATGTTGCTTCTGGTGACTAGGATCTCGCCCCCTGGTATGGTTGCAGTTGTTGTCTTTGCACATGGACGTCTGAAATATGGAAACGAAGACCTTTCCCAAGGAATGAGCCAAAAATTAGTGAGGCCCAGCTCCACAGCACAGGTGTGAGAGTGTGTGGTTATAATTTACGGCTTCTGTCTCAGTATTATAGGCCTCCACAGATAGAATAAGGCTAAATCCTTTGTATTGAAAGAGTAAACGTTTTTTGAGATGAAGTGTTGCTGCAGTGCTTTCAGAGCTGTTGCGTTAGTCTTAATAAGCCAATAACTTATCTTATCATATGGACGTCCAACAGTAGAGTCTGAATCCTGTAAAGTGACATCAGAGTTTAGCAAATCAGTTTAGTGACCCTTTAAGAGAAAGGATGTCATACCGACCAGCAGCCTCAGTGTTTAACTGCCTACAACATGATATGCTGGCATATCCTGCCGTTCACAGTGTCTTTTTTTGGACAGATTCACTCACCAATATTCAAAAGTCTTTCTCAAGCACCCGCGAAGGCAAATACTGTTGAAGGAAAGAGATGTTTGGTAGCTGATTTGCTGTAGAACAGGTTTGTGTCTACACGCAGTATATTCACTATGTAATCGAAAACGTATGTACAAAAAGAAAACTATGTACAGTCAAACTAATATATAAATCAAAAGGATATACTGTATGTTCCTTAGGTTGATTACAGTGAACTGTGTAGAAAGAAGATCACAAAATGTTATATTGAAAGTTTTGGCAAATACGATTTTAAAGTAGAATCTATCTATGTAGAACTTGTGTCAAACAACGCACTTTAAATGGTGAACCTAATTTTTGGCAAACCCCTAAACACACTATGTAGACTGGTTTTGTTGTCACCTGCCAAAGATTATGTTTCGGCGAAGGAGAGATTGGTTGTGAGGACTTTGTTGTGGATGAAGTTTTTATTTAGAGGGTAGGTGACATAGCTCCTGAATAGAAGGCAGCGCTACAGCCAAAATCAAACTCTGTACACTCATACTTCTTTCAGTCAGGTCTCCAAAGCTTTACATTTTCTCCTTGTCTGTCTGAGACTGAGCCAGCTGTCTTACTCAGCGTCTTTATTTACTGTATGATTTAGGTTGGGTACCGTTCACATTTTAAACAATTTGATACCATTACCTGAAATCTGGTATTGGTATCTTACGGCAACAATAATTGGCTCTCTTGCAATACCAGAAAATGTAATTCTACCCCACACAGTAAAACACTTTTAAAAACAGATCTAGTAGATGGTGGTATATGCACCTGCTGAAAAAAAGAATAAAACCAAAGTACAAGCAAACCAACAGTGAACGTTTTCTCCAGCCATGATGCATCCAAATGGCAAATTAATTACGTGGATTCTCTGTCGATGACACTCTCCAACAAGGGTTCAACTTCTTTGTCGCTGGCTGCAGGTGCACTGCTAACGTTAGCTGCAGTTGCTGCCAGGTACTCGGCTTCGAGGCTTTAGAATATGATGCATCGTTCAGCTTTTAAATGCATCTTGTGTCGACTGGGTGTTTATCAGGTTAGATGTGTTGCCATGGCCAGCTTTGCATTTCTCTATACAAATACTGCAGTTACCAACACTATAGCCTGATGCACACCTTCAGAAATGTAGCATCACTTGATATGTAGATACATTAACACACTAGTATAAATATGTAGGCCACACTCCATTGACTCTACCTGCTCTCTCACCCAGATGACTTCTCTTGCTCTCTTGCGGACTGATTTAACGCCAGTGCCCAGTTTTACTGACAGTAGGCTACTCTTAAAAGTACGCTACCTAACCGTATGTATGATTGTGGCGAGCAAGAGATTAGTTTGTTGAGGATTTAATAATTGTCTGTTGTTGTATTTGAGACATAATTAATATGTAGCCGACATCATGGACTCAGCTTTATGTGATTTTACTAAAGATCTTCCAATATCTTGTGGTAAAGCTGCTGATGTCATATCCTTGAGAAGTCTCATAACACTGTATCATCATCTGCATTCACAAGAGTGACACTTCAGTACAATCCAAATTAAATAAAACAGTTCCCTGGATTTTACAGGTTTCTGTTTGTTATTTTGCTCCTGTATATTTAAATCCTCTGTGATTTAGAACGCATATAGCTGAAATCTTAGAATTGGCAGAATTGAGATATGAAGCAGAAAGAATGTCAAGCCTCTAAATGCAAACAAGCAGACGATAGAAAAAAAAGAGCCATGGACAAATACTCATCGCTCCTGTGTGCTTAACAACAAAAAAAGAAATCCAAAAGCTTATGTCCCTTTAGAACAGGTCATAACCCTGAGTGTGCTTCCTCCCCGAGCACATTTCGCAGAGATGACAATAAATAAATGTGGCCTTATTGTGTTGTTTCTGTTGTTGTTTTCATCATTAGCATCAATAAAAAAGCACAAAGATTTCACATGTAATAACCGCGATCCTAGGTCACTTTAAAGGATGTGTCACATCATATGTTGGTTCCAGCTTGTGTTGTCACAGTATGTTTTCATTAATGTGAGTCGTCACATGTTGTGCTGAAAGTGCCACATCCTTATGAACAGAGTTAGATTTGTACTGTGTAGATGTTATGTATTTGCCAGAGTTTAAACCATGCGGGACACTTGGAAGACACATTAATTAATTAACAAACTATTAATCATTCATAACAGCCGCCTGACCTTTCTCCAAACCCCTCCCTGTAACGTGAGCGTGTGCACAGGCCTGTCAAGCTTTTGATTTGTCCATTTCAATTCTAACATCAGATAAAGTGTGATCTTTAAAGGAGACATATTCTGCTCATGCTCAGGTTCATAATTTCAATTTGGTTTATTACCTGGAAAGGTTTACATGCGCTAATTTTCAGAAAACGTCACTGTCCTCATGCTGTCCATCGCTGCTGCTCCTCCTTTCAGCCTCTGTCTATAACACCTGGTTTCAGCTCCTGTCACTTGAATGCCAGCGGAGCGACCATGTTGTGATTGGTTAACCATGAAATGTTGTTCTTGCTTTACCTGGCTTTGTGAGGGGGCGTGACAGAGTAGCCACTGGGCCTGCATTATGCAAATGTGGGGTATTGAGGTGTCACATGACATCACCATGGTGCAGAAGTGTCAGCCAGGAGCTGGGTTTTCTTGAGAGGAGAGTATCTCACTTCACAGCAGAACTTTGGGCCTTTTAACTTTGCATTTTAACATTTACAGTGCCCCCAGAAATCAGTCTCCTTCAAATAGGAGTGACACTGAATTTCATGTTTAAACTCAACCATTTGTCTCTTTAATGACAATAATAGTGAACTGAAAGTAATATTTTATTGCTCATCGTCCAGAGCAGAGAGAACAGAGGGTTTGGCTTTTAGCGACTCGACTCCCATTAACATTTGAGAGCAAAATGTGAGTGTCCTGTTGGTGGCACGACAAAAAGCAGGTTGTAGTGTTCAGATACAGAACAAATACTCGACTGCATAATACCTCAAGAGTAGCTGGGTGAATTATATTTAATCTGTTTTTGAGTGTTTTCCCCTTGAACAGAGGAGAAGCTGGTTAGCTGCTATCTGGAGGTGCAGGCCTGAGTCCAGGAATCAGAGTTTTTTATACATATCATTATCATTTTCAACTACTGTGTAGTTACTGTATATTAACAAATTATTATGTTCGCTTAGCTGTTAGCTTGACGCATATGTTAGCATGACATTTTCATTTCTCTTACTCATTTTATTAAGTAACAAATATCCGCACATTAGAGCATGCACTGTTGAGTTACCTGCAGTATAAAGTTCAGATTCATGTCTATTTTTCTATTAAACCTTTCACAATGAAGCGTTTATTTACTCTGTCATTTTTATTTCGGCCTGGAAAGCAGAGACACGGGCGACTGCTTTCCTACGTTTTGTCCTCACATTGCTAAAAAAAAATCAAATCCATGTTATGTTTCGTCAGATAAATGTCAGAATGGCTCAGTTCTAAATTAAGTGAGAGAGGAGTGTGATGTTGTTACTGCAGTTCAATGCATTTCCAAATGTCAAACAGACACTGTCAAACAGACCATATGTGTAGCTGTATATTGATGTTTGGTACAAAAATAAAAATAAAAACATTTTTCTGTCCTCTGGTCTACATTTGTTAAGAATTTGTACAGAATCAGTTTGTGAATACAGATGATGGAGGTTATGTTTTCACTTCTGTCCCTTGGTTTGTTTGTTTGTCGGCATTTAGGGGACTAACAACATGAATATGTGTAATTTGGAGAACCCTGGTTGAAATGACGGACCTTGGCGATGGTGGTGGACTGTTATTGCCTTTCTTATTAAAGAAAGTGAAAAGAAATCCTGGATATGAATCTGAATCCACACCGAAATGTGTCGACCTCTTCCCTCACCATTACTGAAGCCTTCTACCAAGTTTCGTAATATTCTGTTCAGTTGTTTTTGCGTAAGTTGAACTAAAATATGTCAACATACTTCATGAATGAAGTACAGGACAGGAAACCTTATTCAAGGTTAACAATCAGCAATATTCACCTTTTATTCAGTGCTTCCTGCAGTAAATGAGAAAACAGCAGCACCTCCATATCTCCTGTTCGTAATGACTCATGAATAACTGTGAATCTCAGATTTTTCCAGAGCTGACAGATTTTGTCTCGTCACAGCAGCAAATGGCAGAGCCTCATCTGTAAACACTTCACAGAGCGTTATTTCTCACGGCACCGTTATCACACTGCAGGTATGCAAATTGGTGCACTATTTTTGGAAAAGGGTGTTAGAGAAATTAGAGATCTTGACAAAAAAGAAAATCAAACACCATCCCGTTGCATAACAGATACCCAGGCTGTTAGAGGACAATTTCTTTCGTTCAGAGCTGGGAGCATTTGGACAATCTCTGTGCCTCATGATGAGAGGATAAACAAGTCAGAGGAAAATGAATAGAAATGCAATGCAATCTCATTGCAGCCAGGCATTCTCCTGCTCATCTCCACTGTCTTTTTTTTTTTTTTTTTTTCTTTTGCATTGTCAAGTTCTTCAGCTCGTATGAGGCTCTGCATGGAGGAGTTGCTTCTTGGTCGTTTCTTTTTCCAGCCCTCGTGCCGATGATTCATTTCCCCACACTTTGTCCCAGCTTGTGCCTTTGTTAAGTGCTATTATGAGACTTTAAGAGGTGGTTTAACATGATAGCTCACATTCCTGAAGAAATCTGAAGTCGGAGAATCATAGAGATGAAAATATCCCTCAGCCTCGGGGCATTTAACGCCAGCTAGAGACGACGCAGAGGCAAACAGCAGAGAGTGAGCGAAGAATAATTTATGGAGATATTTGTGATTCTGAACAGGCTC